TTTTTTCTCTTAGTCACACAAATTGTATGTGCAACTTGGAGATGTATTTTGTAATTTTGTATCTGTTTTTCCATTTTGTACTGGACACGGCGTTAATGTTAGAGGTTTTGAATGAACTCTCGCTCAATTTCTATGTTCCCATTCTCAACTGAGCTATGGATCACTGTCATGTTTTATATGTCACTCTGGCTTTTTCCAGAAGACAATGTACTTTAATATTGATTCAATGTCCTTCAACATCACCAAATATCTTAGTATTATTTTTCACATCCAGCCTAGAATAACAGGGATTATGTACACCGTGATTTCGTTACCATCAGTCATATTGTTGCCATATTTCTTTAACTTAAAAGCCTTGGCATGCAGTATAGGTGAATGAAGCTGGGAATTAATCAAACATAATAAATGTATGTAAATTATAATCCAGTTATTATTTAAAAACTAAGGGGGCTAGGTGTGTTGTCAAACTAATTCATTAATATAATGGAAAAAAGATAAATGGGCATTAAAGGTCACCTATTGTGCAAAATTCACTTTTTCATGTCTCTTATACATAAACATGTGTCCCCTCTGCGTAAAGAGAATCTGAAAGGTTCAGGAACAAAGATTCTCTCTCTTTTTGTCCTGATCCATTTATATAAAAACCTGTCTGAAAATGAGCTGATCAGACTTTGGCCACTTTATGATGTCATAATGTTTTTTTGGCTTGTGTAACATTTGGCCAATCACCAACCAAGGTAACCCCCCCCCCCCCCCCCCCCACCTTATCACCTGAATCTCCTCCTAGAGCACCATTTTGTTTTTTTTAACCATATATCTCTCAGAGGGGCGTGGGGAGTGGCTCCTTATTTTCATCTGAAGTAACAGACAGAGAATCAGCACTTTTGAAACAGGGCTGAAACAGAGGGGTTTATGGGATGCTACAATGCATGATCTGTTTGGTATTTCGAGCCAAACACTTCAGAGACATGTTTTGTATATATCTGAGACCTATAATATATTGATGAAAAACAGTATAATAGGGGATCTTTAAGTCGCTCCATGTAGAATATTTACATCAATTAAACCCAAAGTGTTTGGATGGATGTCACTTGAAAGTTAATTTAAATGCATGTAGCATTTCCGCCTTCAGATACAAATTGACAATAACAACTATGTAGCAAGAAAATGCAAGACCCTCAATATAAACATAAATACAGTGAACACAAAGCCTTGACATTAACACAAAGAGGCAGGACTGTGTAAAATTGAGCCCTTCTGGATCCACTAAACCTGTCATGTTTTTGATTGTATCTTTCAGGCAATTCTTAGCTCCGCTGGACCTTCTGAGACTCTTAATACACAAGGACTTTCATTGTTGAGAGAACATTTCAGGGAGAACATTAGGGAGAACACAGAAGGCACAGAGTCTGCAGCGAGTTGTTCATGATGATTTAAATGACCTCAAGAGAGAATATCAGAACACAGATGCTGGAGTCATTTTCTTTTTTAGGGATTTATTTGTTCTTAAATTGCAGAGATTCTTTTAAAGCAATAGTCTTTGTCATCAGCCCCTCTTCCAAGCACTGAAACCACACATAAGTGCCTGATAAGCTTTTAACATCTCAAAATGTCTGTAACAAAAATATGAAGCACCACTCCATATAATGTGTCACTCCCCATGCTGGGTCTCATTAATGGATGGCACTTTTATTTCTGTATTAAACAGTTTGCTGTTAAGATTACCGCGTTTCATTAACATGATGGATAAAATGCAGATTCGGGCATCAGACTGATGAGTTTATTAAAAGTTCATTACAATCAGATTTTAGAGCACTGACATTAAGTAACACACGACTATCCTTTAACAACAGATTAAGGTCACAGAAAGACATGTGCAGCTTTAAATAGTAGCTGCAATTACATTTATTCTGATAAATACCAGAACTAGTGTGGTGTTCAGTAAGATCTAGGTTGAACCTGCCATATCAATACAAAAGAAGCATATTTGTTATATAAATACAATTCTTCATCACTCTCTATTTAGGAAAACCTCCACTCTTCCTACACGTGTTCACACACTTGGGTTCAGTCCAAGTTGTTCTCCTGGGAAGAGTCTTCTCAGGGGAACCATCAGTGTTGACTTGTTTACTATTTAACAGATGGCAAGCCTTCTGTTGAATAACACCAGCAGTAATTACTACTTATTCCTGCATTTCCCCTCCAGGGATTAAAAATGGATCATCTAATACCGTATTAAAACATTTACAACAATGAAAATACATAGCAAGGAACCACAAGAGTTCTCAGCGCTTGAAACACATCCATCTGTACTTTTTTTCTCTATTTTTCGGTGGAGCGCTGGATTTGGGGCATCATAAATATTACAGTTAAGCAACTTTTTGTGTGCAGCCATCTGCCAGATATGTCGCCCTACAATTCAGGAACACGGTTTTGCCATCTGAGCAATTGCTGCTATTTATGTCGTGATATCTGTATAATTTAGATTAAAACTTGAGTTTCCTAAAAATCAACTGGTACATGAGAGTAAAATGGTTTAATGTGATCTTAAAACGTTTGCAGACAATTTGTTGTTTATCTAGTTTTAAATCTTAGTGCTCACATTTAAAGTTGTTAACTTGGATAAGTGTAATGGGGATTTTTGATTATGAAACAATGTAAGATTCACAAACATAAAAGACCAGACCCCAATTAAATGAAATATCAATTTAAATGCAGTACATTTAGATTTGGAACCACACTGTGTAAGTACATCATTTTACTTCTCCGCTGTCTCAACTAAATCGGAGGCGAACAGTTAGTGAAGCTAAGGATGAAAACACTTTGAGTGGATGTGAGTGTGTATATGTGTGTCCTTCTGTGTGAGCTGGAGAGAGACCACAGGACAGATCTGGGACACTCAGCCATCAGCAGCAAAGTAGCAGAAAACTGAAACCAGGGCAGCCAATGATCCATTGAGAAACATCGTTCCATATGTGACAGGTCGCCCGCCCTTAAATAAGCTCACGGATCTTCTCCATATTTTATCATAGTCATCCATATTAATTTACACTATAGTAGTGGATGTGGACAACAGTGTGTCGTTTGGGGCAACACTTTACTCACATATGGAAACTTCCAGGCCACTGAGTAACCTTTACTAACATTTTGGACAAGTGCTGCAATATGGGCAGCAAGGTAGTTTGGAAAGAGGGGGGGGGGAGCGGAAGTAGTGCCTTTAAATGTACTGTATTCAATCTCAAAGCATGGATTTTCCACAACTTTATCTCTGTGAGTCACAACAATGACATGTTTACATGCCCACAACACTTGGCAATTATTCCAGTAGCAAGTTTCGCTTGTCGGCTGTGCGTGGTGATGAAAAGCTGATTCGAGGGGCCCCCAGTGAAAAGTTTGCCTAGGGCCCTCACCGACTCTAGGATCGCCACTGATGCAGAGTTAACGTCACACGGTATGTATTTCCCGTGTAAACGACGTGCGAGTGTTCACAACATTAAGATGGTTGTATGATGAATAAGTTGGATGTGTTATAATTAAAGTACTGTTGTTTGGCTGTTGTGAGGCATCAGATTTGTTTGGCTTTCAGAGTATAACATAACTTCTGTATAACATAGCTCCATATTAAATACAATACATCATTACAATTCTAACATATTAATGTTAAACAGTATAAGAAATTAAATATCCACTGGATACATTTTTAAGAATAATTGTGCGTGATATTGCTTTTCTTCCCGAAAAATGACTTTGGTCTGAGTTATTAAAATTGCATCTACTCCTTTGTGAAGTAAACAACACATTTAAGTTCTAGAAAAATGTCTTCTTCTTAACTGTAGTGAACACACTTCACGCTGAATGACTTCCAGACTAGCTGTGCTCTCATTTAAGATGAGCAGAGAGAGACTTTACCCCTCGAGCAGATACATGTGAAAACAGCCTTTTAGTGTCAAACTCTGCAAAAACATCATTCTGCACAGCGAAGCTCGAACATCCAAAGAAATAAAAAATAAGCAAAACCTCGAGTGAAGGGAAACTTTGGGAAAATGAATTATACACTGAACAAAAATATAAACGCAACACTTTTGTTTTTGCTCCCATTTTTTATGAGATGAACTCAAAGATCTAAAACATTTTCTATATACACAAAATAACCATTTCTCTCAAATATTGTTCAAAAATCTGAAAAAATCTGTGATAGTGAGCACTTCTCCTTTGCAGAGATAATCCATCCCACCTCACAGGTGTGGCATATCAAGATGCTGATTAGACAGCATGATTATTGCACAGGTGTGCCTTAGGCTGGCCACAATAAAAGGCCACTCTGAAACGTGCATTTTTGCTTTATTGGGGGGGTCTGGGGGGGTCCGAAAACCAGGCAGTATCTGGTGTGAGGGGTAGGGGTAGGGGTAGGGGTAGGGTTAGGGTAAGGGTTAGGGTAATGTTGTGAATCGAGTGGCCTGTGTTCGTCATCCATAACATACGCCTGCCCATACCATAACCCCACCACCACCATGGGCCACTCGATTCACAACATTACCCTAACCCTACCCCTAACCCTACCCCTCACACCAGATACTGCCTGATTTTCGGACTCCCCCCAGTAAAGCAAAACTGCACGTTTCAGAGTGGCCTTTTATTGTGGCCAGCCTAAGGCACACCTGTGCAATAATCATGCTGTCTAATCAGCATCTTGATATGCCACACCTGTGAGGTGGGATGGATTATCTCGGCAAAGGAGAAGTGCTCACTATCACAGATTTTTTCAGATTTGTGAACAATATTTGAGAGAAATGGTTATTTTGTGTATAAAGAAAATGTTTTGGATCTTTGAGTTCATCTCATGAAAAATGGGAGCAAAAACAAAAGTGTTGCGTTTATATTTTTGTTCAGTGTACATTGTCGGACTTCCTGTGTTAACGCCTTATTGAGCCTGGCACAAAGATAATATACAAATACAAATATAAACAGTCATATCATCACCAGACAAACATTACACTCACCCTCCTTTGATGTAATCCAGGAAGGTGTGCTCTGACTCCACGTTGAATGACAACAAGGACACCTGAGGGAAAGAAAAGGTTGAAACTGATTATCATGCTTTGTAATTAGGGAAAACCAAATCTACCAATCTGCACATTAACACTGACCTCTGAGCTATCCACCCACAAAATGACTTATCCATGCAGAATGGTTTTGACGCCCTGGCAGCATATTAGTATTACAATCACTGAGAGAACATCAGCCTGCCTGTGCGCTGATTGATAATCGGTGTGATGGATAACTAGCCACCGATTTTAATTACAGAGTCAACGCATACAACAAGAGCAGCAAATGTACTCAGGCAGTAAAAGAAACCTGGCTCATTTATTGACATCCATCACTTCTCGTCACTAATAGGACACAGACAAGAGGATCCTTTGTGCATAACTAGGGACTTGACGTTTCACCCCGTTTCAGGTCAGGAGAATGTTTTTCCTTGTACTTAAATGTACTGTCTGGATCATAAGCCCCAACACTGGGAATGGAAACAAACATTTAACAGAGCAGAATTGCCTCATGCAATCCACTGAGAGAAAACCTCCTCTCAGTGGTATAAAAAAAGCAAATGTCGGGGTGTGAGTGCAACGGGAGAAATGCTCTTATCTCAGAACTCAGTCTCACCGTCCCAGAGTTGATGTATCTCTTTTTCTTTATTTTCTTCTTTGCATTCACCACCTGGTACGAAGGCAGAATAGAAAAGAAGAATGATGATTATATAAACTTTCCGCACAGTTCTTGTTATTCACCCTTAGGCAAGTAATAAAAACATCTTTGTCCTACTACTCCATGTCTATAAGGATAATGGGGCAGAGCGACTGAATCCAATAACTGCAGGAAGGGAGAATTGAGATAGCATTGATCATGCCTCGCAGCCAGATACTGGTTATCCAGGGGGATTCGTATAAGCACCTGCACTGCGCTATAAATTTTTCCAGGCACATTACCCAAGGTGGGGATAGTGGAACAAATATATCTTTAGCAATGATTCACTGTTGATAAACAGAATGATAACCACATTTAGACTCAATTGTAGAAATGTGCCAGTGGAGAACAATGTGCTATGTGGGCAAATGCGTAAAAAAAAATATATATAAAAAGGTGAAAAGCAGGAAGACCTGATTTTAAATGATAACGGTACTCGAATATTTTTTAGAACCTGCAGGCAAAAACATTTGTCAAACAGTAAGCTATCGTAATCCAAAATCTCTACTGCTTATTCCATCGGTCTGCATAAAAACATACTATGAAGCACAAGCCTGGAGGGAACTGTGCTGTAAATAAAGTAAAAGGTACTGTACACAGATGATGCCTCACAGCACCACAGCCATTAGGGATTCACAATATTGGATTTCTGCAGACATCCGATACATCAATGTTTTCTTACTTCTTTTGACCGTTGCCAAATACTAAAACTGGTACACCACATATTTAGTTTCAAACTAATTGCAGAGAACATTAGATCCCTCATTCAGAGCAGTTAACATAGTATGCTGTTATTGAGATGCAGACATTAAATGTAATGCTTTTTAAAATGTACAAGTTCTTTGGGGAAAATAATGAAACATACTTCAACTAAGATATATTTATTCTGATGTAACATGTTAAAACACAACAGAAACATTTTTCCTACTAAATTGTTTTATATCCAATTTGAAGGTGTTTATCTGCGGATGATCTGCCGGTATCATCGTGAATCCCTGGCAGCCATCAGTCTTTCCATGTTCACACCATGTCACACAGATATCACCTTTAATGACATCAGGCTCTGTTGACATTAGCCTGCTGTCATCCTCACTCACACAGCTAATGTTTGCAGGCCCCTGCATGTCAGGTTGAGAACACGGGAATCTGAAAAGTTGTGATTCTTTATTTGTCAATGGTGAAGAGGTAGCCTCATGTTGTTTTTGACCACATCTTGAAATTGATTCAAGAGCACTGACCTTGAAAATAATAAATGAAGGAATTTCTGTGTTTTACTTTCTAATTAAAATACAAAGGTGTTTGGTGAAGGGTAATGGATGCACCTTCATCGGCCATATCAGCAATGGGAAAGGGCAACTCTGCATGCCACTCACTATGCTGTCTCTTTCGCACTTGGTCTCTCTTACCTCTCCTTATGTCCATCTTACCACAACCCTCTAACTCTTCGTTGGCCCTGTTCTTTTCTTAAGCCACCTCCATGACTAATTCAAAAGCTAATGTAAAATGGCAAGTGTTTTAATGAGCAGGGAACGATAGGAGCCCCGAAGCACTGAACAATAATACCCAATCTTACCCTCCAAGGACCAACCCAAAAACACTGTAATCAGCAGCAATATGTTGCACTCCCATTTGTATTCTCCCCGCAGAAACACCCTTCCTCATCTGGTCAGCTGCACCACTTAACCGCTCAGATGCTTAATGCTGTGCAAGGTGAGGAGAGGCCGAGGACGCTAGCTGTTGATCTCAAATAGCCAAAACTCTAACAACCAGAGCCTCCTGAGGTCATTAAACTTTGGATGACTTGCTGAGTCGAAGGGTGTTCTGATTTGGACTTCAATTGAAGTGTGTTTCTTGTTCCCATAAAGTGAGCATTTAGGCTAGTCATTGTGATAAAGCTGCAGCCACACATTCAGTAAAAGGTTGCGTACAGTTCTGTGCATTTGTAATATGTGCTTCACCTGATTCGAACACCTAAGACATATGGACACACAGAAATATATATTCAGAACTGGATATAAGGCCTGGGCTTAGAAAATTAGACATTAGGAGAGGTATGTTTTATATTGTGACCTGAATTATACTTGACAGGAGTTGAAAGAGCACAAAAAAGAACAGGATGAAGAATAACAATCTTCTAGACATAATGTCGTGTAATTAAAATACTCAACAGTGAGGTCAACTTTAAGTAAATATGAGATGTAAAATTATTATATGTTTTAAAAGCCACTTCCCTCTGAAATTAAACACAAATGGTTAGGACCTGCTGCCTTTATCTGAACTCACCTCGTGGACGTTCAACTGGTTTTGACCTCGACAGAGCGTTTTGTAGCTGGTAGTGAATTCACCAATGAAATCATGACTTGAGAAAAGAGATAAAAAGAGTATGACATACTGTTCACTAAAGAAGGTACCACCCTGAGAGGTAAACACAGAATACAGTTAGTAGAAAAGATTTATGAAGGTGATGAAAATGTAATTTATTGAGGAGGCTATTATCCAGTAGGTTTTCAAATACAAGACATTTGCTTTAGTTAATGATGATGCATACATAACGACAGTAAGATAAATTGAAATGTAGAATTACAAAAACATTTACAGTATATAAGAATTAAAAGCGAAAGAGCTTTGCAGTTTTAATTGTGCAGAAATGCGTAAAATATCATAAGAGTCTGATGAATGGCAAAGGGATGTCACTAAATAGTGTATTCATGTAATGCAATAAAGTGCGTGTGTGTGTGTGTGTGTGTGTGTGTGTGTGTGTGTGTGTGTGTGTGTGTGTGTGTGTGTGTGTGTGTGTGTGTGTGTGTGTGTGTGTGTGTGTGTGTGTGTGTGTGTGTGTGTGTGTGTGTGTGTGTGTGTGTGTGTGTGCATCCATTACCTCCCGTCTCTGTCCCAGTCATACACCTCTGCCTTGATTGCCCTGTAAGACACATCAGAAAAAGTGTTGAGAACAGTTACGTAACACATGAAACATACATCTAAATGTCCTTGAACAGAAACTTCCCAGAGAGCCTTTCCTGAAATGACACAGTTAAAAAAAGCTGTTAAAGCTAGTTAATTACTAATGAAGGCTGAATTAAAAGAACTTTTTTGCACGCGAAATATATTTTTAAGGAGCTAAAAGGATGCCAAAAATAGTTATTTACATCATTAGTCACTGACAAATCATTTAACCTAAACTGCCACCACTAAAAACCCAAACAGCCTACTTCCTGCCAGGCTTGCATCCAATAAAAGCAACACAAAAAAGTATTGGTAAACTGCCATGAAGGACTTGTTTATAATTAAGTTTGTGTTACTTACAGAAGACAGAGTTCGGGGTTGATAGAGCTGCACATTTCACTGCAAATGCCAAAGATATAAAAGTAACCTCTTGGGAGGGAGCATCATTTCAAGTTCTCATAAAAGTTTGGAAGGCAAGAAACTAAATAATTATGCCTGAGATAATTAGCTGAGAATGAGGAAAGAGCTTGCTCTTTGTGTCTGTATCTGATGGAAAGATCAGTGGCTTTGCCCCCTTCCTCCCATCAGCTGCTGTCAATCATGTGTCTCTGGTCTGGAGGAGGATTGGTGAAGTAGGGCTGCCCTGTTATCCTGACCTGAACTCATTCTCTCTGCACAATGCAAGAGTTTTAATGTGAATATGTGAAACAACCAGTCACTTTTTCAATTTCAATTCTGAAAAAACATATTACATAGCCAGATAGTGAGATTTCAGAGACTTCATTTGAGAAACAATCACATTTTTCATACACTTTACTAAAAACAAGTGTATTCTGATATTCATGGCAGATTACTAACCAGTGATGTGTCAGTTAGCATACTTATTTTCCTAATCAAAATTTTCGTGCAAGAAATTATCATGAGGAAGTGGAACACTATGACGCGATCGAGATCGGTTGTTGTTTTGACTTTCCAAAGGTTATTGTGGTAGAAGAATATATCAAATATAACTTTCTGTTTTCCTGTGGTGTAATATGCTATACTGCTGAGTGTAGGGGGAATCTTTTTTGTCTTTGTAGCTCAATCTGGGGAGTCTGCAGTATCTATAAAGATAAAAGAGCTCTGCATTTGACAAATGCCTGAGTCAAAGGAAATACAAAGCCTCAAAATCACTGTCAGATTATAAACCAGGACAACCACTATTTGTACAAAGCCAATATGTTTGAAACATTATTCAATGATTAGCTTTCGCTGTCTAGGACTTGAAAATAGAGCACATAAAAAAAGCTACCCCTAGACCCCTACATCTTGCCATTAAATCCTCAAAGGGAGACAGGCTCCTTTCATGCTTCCACTCCATCTGTCTGACCCAATTAGCTTCTCCAGGTGAGCAGAGCCGGGATCGCAGTGAAGAACCTAGGTTGACACCCAGCGTGTTGGAGAGGGCAATACCTGACATGTTCTTTGACGATTTGTAACCATTCCCATGGCTGTCTGAATCTACACACTTTTGTGCTTGTGCGAACACACTCACACACACAAATGAACACATAGCAGGACTCCTCTGTATTTTGAGACACCCGTCAACGTCTTAAGGGCGATGAGTGCAGCCATGTTCCCTTCACAATTGACTTTTTCCTCCATTCTTTTATGACTTTTCTGCCAAAAACTGAGATCCAGATAAGATAGGAGTTTCACCTGGAGCCGCCAATCAGAAACGTAATGCTCTGAAAGGCCAGTTGTGGGCAAATCAATAAACAGCCAGCCAAGATAGCTTATGGTCAAAAACTGTCCGGTAATGTTTCTCTTTTACACCAGATAAAATAACAGTAGAAAATCAATGGAGTCTAAATTTGACACTACCAATCCAACACCGCATATTGAAAATCTGCTTGGCTTTGATTTCCAGTGGAAAAGCACACTTCATCTGCAGAACACTTAATCATTCATCATATTTTATCTCACCTCTCATAGTCTCCGTTGCAGAGCGCTCTGACAGGGATGGAGAAGGGCTGCCATACAGGGTGCAGCGTGTTTTTCATCACTTCAGTCTTGTGGCAGATGGTGAACCTGGAAACGCAGGTCGACAGGGATTTAAAATCCTAAAAGACAAATCTCTAAGAAAAAATACAGTGTGAACATATTCCTGCTGCGCTTTGCTTTGAAACCATGTCTGCATGAATTCATCTCAGTGCCTCTGAGTTCAAGGGATTTCAATGTAATTCTTTCGACCTTGGATCACTTCCTCTTTGATCCCCACACCCTCCTACCTGTCTTTGATAGGCTAAATGAAATACCTGCTGAGAAGAAGAAGCAAGAGACAAACTCACGTTCCATCCTCATTACTTCTGTAGAAGACCATGAAGGGGTCGGACTTTCCAAAGAAGTCCTTCTTATCTAGTTTGTTGGCACAGAATTGCATGGTGGCGTAATCCTGCAGACAAAGAAAAGAGAAATGAAGAGACATAAAAGTAAAGAACATTCTAAATCCATGCTTCTGCCTCTGTTTTCCTACTGTTTGTTTATACGTGCTGTATGCCAGGATATAAAAGCTCTGGAGCAACAAATAAAAGCAATGTGCTGAATTATAATAAGAGAGGGCAAAACATGCCAGTGGGCCCTTGTTCCCAAAAATCTGGAAATGTATTCATTACATTTTCTTTATTATGCAACTCATTTATATATCCCATTACAACAGTGGATGGGATAAGAGTTATCAAATGTAAAATACCTTGGTGTGCTGCATATAATCATGGTAACAGTATCAGAGACAGAGCAGAGGGAAGGAAATGGATGCTAAAACCAGCAAATGGAGGAGGGGAGGGGTTGTGTACAAAAGGGATGTGGAGTGTGTGAGTGCTGCTAATGATACATTAGAAAGGCTGGCATTACCATAATTATACTAATTTTAGGCAGCATTTCGAGTGAGTGCTGCCATTAAAAGGACAATTAACAAGCTCCATAATGCTCTCGGCTCCAGATAGTCTGCCTGTGGTCAAGATATTAGTCGGTGTTGATAATAGAGAGGCACAGTGAGCACAAACTGGATAGGTAAATGTCCAGATCAAAAGAACTCTGCAGTGTTTTTCAGAACTGACAGCTTTTATCTCAAGATCATTTTATCTGAGACTTTCTTTGAGCTGCTCAACATACGGCATATGCAAGTCAAGAGTCTAATCATCATATCTTTAAGCCAGAGATGTGAGACCAGAAGACATTCAGAGCCCTCCACTGGCAGAAGAAGAGCTGTTTTTTCCCACTGGACTCTCTACGTTTTAGGTTTTGAAGTGCAGCTATTAGATCTGAATCAGCATGGTGCTTGGCTAGCCCTCCATTGATTGATTTGACCCACATCAGTGAGGCTCGATCTGCCTCTGACCTGCCTCTCACTAACCCCCATCACGGAGGAGCAACCGCTGAGAAAAAGACGGATGCCACTAAATGGATACTTTTCTAGAAAATTGAGCTGATTTAATTATCCCATTGCTTCTAAACAACGTTTTTGTTTCCAATCAGCATTGTGGAAGACAGAAGAAAAGTAAAAGCGCTGATTAAAATTGTGAAGCGGGGGTGTAGTATATCTATCATTTTTCATTCTATTGTTTTGTATTCCCTTTGTCATATTGTGTTATTATCTACTGTATGCGTCTACAGATTTAACAATATATGTTGGTGAGAGAAATGTTTACATTTTTTGCAGTTGAAAATGTATAAACCAAGGGGATGTCTAACATACGGGACAGATTATGGGTCCAATCCAGCACACTTGAGAACTGCACAATTTTGCAAAAGGAGCCATTAATCCAATACTTCATATAAAATGCAATGCTATCCCTATGTGCCCATTGTGGGCAGCCCTGTCCTAGAGTAGCAGGCCCTATACTGATATGCTATTATACGTCCCATATGCTTAGGCTACATGACACAACACTGACACTGAAAATGTCCTTGTCAAAAAGTAGAAAATGGGAAATAGAGTGTCAGGGTTTTCAATAATGACCAGTTCGTATTTCTTCACAGAGGTAAATTGGAAGCAAGTGTCCTTGTTGTGTTCACAGTAGCTTTCAGTGCTTAAAGTAATAATATTCAGCACCACCAGCAGACACATCATGGTGAACAATAAAATAACTTGCAAGGACATAAGAACAGACACGATAAATTAGTTGTTGTCAACAAGAGGTCTGCTTTTAATTGTAGCTGAGAGATCAGCAAGGCATCTCAGGCTGTCCATCTGCTGTTTGTAAATGGATTGTTCATTTTGTGAATGTACTTTTACATACATAAGGGACACATTTAAAGCCGTTGTTTATAGGTTTTTGTACAATGAGCTTACTGGTCCAGACCACTGGAGATCTAAATGGGCAGTTTTTGTCCCATGAACTCAAATACTTTTAGAAACATTGTTAGTGCAGGTCGTAACTGCATCTTTTAAAGCTCATCAATGAAGTGGGTTTTTGCAAGAACATTTAATTTGACATGTTCCTATTGTGGCTTGTTCTCTGGATTTAAAGTTTGCTCTGGTCCGTTATCTACAGTAAGGCCTTATAATTAGAGGCATTCTATCAATATCCCGCCTAACGCTGACTTGGCCTCTAGAATTACACTTACATGGCAACGCGGTGCCTTAAGCCTTCATTAGGCACAGATAACACATACCAACCTTGGCGCCCAGCATCGTTTTCTCATTAGGTCAGGAAAAAACGGCAGAACATTAATTTCAAACACTGAGGTTTAGGAGCAGCCAAGGAATACTGAGTGCAGACTGCATCTTTCTTTCAATGTCTCTGCTCCATCAGGATGGGATGGGGTTTGTGGAAAGAGATGCAAACTGCCAATTTCAAAAAGTGGGACTGGTCTTTCAATAAAATTCCAAACCAATGCCAACAATAGCTATACAAATAGCGTTATATGCTAACCCAATATGAGCCAAAGGTTTGTATGAATCATCATTTAAAAAGATATATATTTTTATGCTTCATGCATTGCTCCTTTCATCTGGTTGTTTGTCTACGTGTCTATGACCATAAGCCTCATTTTTGTCAATGTGAAGAAAGGTTTTACATACGCACAAAAAAGCAATCAAAAGACGGCGGTGATACATATTTTTAAGGTTTTGCTTGAGGGAAACAAATCATACAATCCAAAACATCAACAGTAATTACAATGTTTGGTGGTTATATGAATGGATGGTTATGATGCAGTATTCACTACAGAAAGAACCTCTCATATGTGAAGTGCTGTCTGGTTTACTCAGATCTAAATTAGCCAGAGCCGCTGCTGGACTGTGAGGATGATCTGAGAGAGAGCCAGCCGCTGCTCAGCATGTCCTGAAGTTACCACAGCCAAGAAGAAGCCTTTGATCCAAGCAGAGGCTGTTACTCTGTCTTATGATACCTGGCTAAACCCCCACCAATGGGAGAGCCTCTCCCTGCAGAACTTCCCCAGTCGTTCCCAATCCGCTGGTTTCCCCGAACAAGAGTTGTAGTGTTTACCTGAGGCGATGCAGCAACTCAGCTGCTGCCATGTATTGGTCACAGGTGGATTATAGAATAAACACCACCCAGATGGACTCTTTAAATGCTAGAATTCACAGGTGTGGGACTTGTACCGACAGCAGGGCCTTCAGATATTATTACTATAATATGTGTTTTCTCTCAGTTTCCTGTCCCAGACTCAAACATGAGTTATTTCCATGTATGCTCAAAGTTTGTGTAAACAGGGCAGGTCTGGTGTGAAATGTCAAGTCTTTGTCTCTCTGAGTCTGAAAAAAAGGAAATTGTCATTATACCAGTAATGATCATTTGCATTTATATTAGAAAACTGCTTCTTCAAGTGGTGCTTCTCAGTGATTATGCTAACTTCTATCACTGCAGATCCACTGCACCTGATAGCAGCCCTTCAATGAATGTGCTTGCTTCAATTCAGCAAGAACCAGAACAGTAAGGGTTATCTTGGCAGTTTGTATTAGTGTTGGGAAAATACTGAATGTGCTATAAAGTGGCTTGTTTTTCAAACTCAAATTGAGGACTGCTTTTTGTTTGTTCATGAAACCAAATGTTTTTTGCTCAACATGTAGGACTGGAAGTTACAAAGCTTTAAACGTTAGATGCTTACATGCGTTATGATATCATAAAGTAGTCATACAGCAGTTGCAGCTCAATGACTTGCTTTATAGCCTCCAAGGGAGGCCAGTTGTTCCGGCCAATAAGTCTTTCTACTTTGCTGCACTGGCAGCAGTGTAATGCGATTATTTACTATCTTCATTTAGCAGTGTAGAGCCAATGGGCATTAGTGAACACAGTTTATTAGGGCAGATTCATGGATTAACACGCCACACATCGGAGGAGAAGCGATTGGGGTAGAGGCGAGATCATTAAATAGCTATTCAAATCCACAGTATGTTCACTATGTACACAATTTCCAATGACAAACGCTTTTGCATAGTGACATGGTGTATCCTGCTGGTTTAATGAGGCAGTTATGCAACACACATATATCTAAATGAAGTCAAGGCTATTAAACAAGCCACTCCACCTCAGCAGGTATGTGAACACTGCTATATGCATTGTGTGACTTACACAACATGCACCATTTCCCTACAGTGTGTCACATTCAATTTCACAGTGACATGCCAACAGCTCCAGTGAATCTGTGCGATTGCACTTTAATGTATCGTTTGTAATGTAAGCTAATAGACAGTACATGTGTTCAAACTGTTCAGACTTACTCTGCAGTTTCCCAGCTCCTCCGCAGACAAGATAATGGTCCCACATTTCTTCCCAGGTATGCCACTGTGAAAACAAATAGAGATCATTCAAAACAACAAAGCACAGAAAATATTAAAGGTCCCCTCGATCGTTTTGTCGAGAGGCACTGTGGGTTGAATTTAGTAATACCCACAAGTCATGGAATATAGTTAACGGCACACAACTACGATCTGAATAACTCACTGATGGAAGAAAAGATAGCAGCATTAACCATTTTTGGCTAGTCTGTTAATCTTTTAAAAGAGGGTTGAAGTACACCTGAGGAGCAGGGACTCACTTTTACTCCACAGGTTTGATGAATCACCTCCTGTATGCTATATCCAGCAGAGTAAACCAGACACCTAAATAAGTGACACTTCTCTTTGAGGCTGATAATGCATACATTGCCTTGTTAGCTCTGCTCATTGGTTTATATTTAATACAGTAGGCCTACTTGTAATGTCAGCTCAGAGGACATTTTAACATTAGCTGCACCTATGTTACATACGGAACTTGGAAAACGGGGATTCAAATATTTCACAGCATGAAAAATAATGGGCTACAAAACATACATTTGAATTCTCCTATCTCAAACATTTTAAAGGGTTTTAGTTATGTATTTGTAAATTATTTTTGTCATTGTGAAAACCTATAATATCTGTGAATCATAACATAACTTTAAAGCATTATAGCGCATCGCAATTTGTGACATTAAGTGACAGTTTGACGTCTCTAATGAGCACATTGTTTTGCTTCACCACAGCAACTGAATAAAAACAGGTCAAAAACAGTGGCTCTTAAGTTTGTTTTTAGTACAATGTGAAATAAAACTGCTGGGACACAAGACTCCTCTGATCCCTGTTTGCCTGAATTCACTTTAAACCTCTGCAGGCCTGCAGTTGTTTACCGCTGATTCCTGCTCCAGCAGATGATCAAGACATCGCAGCACAAGAGAGGTTCCCTGCGTGTCTGTGTTTTCACGCTTCACCTCTTCAGTAGCTTGCCAACCTATCAGAAATTGAGACAGAGTGGCTCCAGATTTCTTTAAGCGGAACAAAAAGAGATTTCTTTATATCCAATCTCTGGCAACTCTCTGCATCCACTGAAGCTGTGGGAAAGAAGGCGGACCCTGTTCCACACAACACAAAGCAAGACAGCACTATCCACTCCAGCTGCTGACACTCCTATCATCTTTCCAGATAACAAAAGGAAATTACATGTGGGTCCTGCTGTGGCCTTAGCTGGAGAGCCTTCATTAGAAGGTCAGACATGCTGAAGATCCTCATCAAGCTGTGACAGCTGATCTGACTGGCAGTAATACTGGATTTCATACAGCAAAATAGGAGGCAGCCTTTCACTACTGCAGCAAAGGCTTGCATTATTTACAAAGACAGAAAATTGCTGAAAATATAGTATCGGGTATGCCAGGGGACCGATTAAGAGATAAAGTGTATTTTCCTTTTGCTTATCTGCTGGTGGAGGAGGGGTTTGTTGTGTTTTAGAGATATAGGGTCGTTCCATTAACCTTTCTCAGGTTTCCCAGGCCCATATTATACGTGGTTTTATGCTTCAAGGCAACCCTTATGATCAAATTAGATCAATACCTTAATATAAACCTACAGACCAAAAACATCCAACTGGAAATGCTTTACAAGCAGCAGTGCGTGCAGGAGAACTTTCATAGTCTCAGCATTTAATGAAGCAAAATGTCAAATGAAGCCATCCCACTCTGAAGGGGCCGGCACACTTCATTTCTCAGGCTCTGCCACCAGGCTCCATGGAGACCAATCTCAAGGTGAATTAACTGTCCTTGAATTATTGATGTTTCACTCTAAATCGCTGCTGTGCAGTTTGAGGACACTTCAAAGAGCCAGTAAAGCCCTCCTCCATGAGGCCAGTAAACCCTGCACACTGCGCAGGTCAAGTTATCTCACTCGGGTCACGATAATGACCGATACTCCTTTCAAGATGTGAAATGAGATCCACTGATTGGTAACATATCAGCTCCAGACACGTAAAGATGCCCCACCCTGCTCTAATCTCTGCAGCTGAGATGAGAGCAGGTACCAAAAGGGCAATGCTATTTTAAATGAGGCATGCATTATTGAGTGCGGCATTTCCTCTGACAATGACTAGTTAACTTGAACAAGACAACACTGAGTGGATAAATTCAGTTTGTGCCGTTTCTCTTTGGCACAACAGTTCCTCTTTACTGTCCGGACTGACGATAGTTCTAAGAGCTTCTGTGGTGAAATGTGACGGCTGGTGATACGAAGCGTCCTGCATCGAGAGGCCTCATTCACTCACCTCTCATTCACTGATGGTCCCTCACTGATGATGAAATTAAGTGAAATATGCTGCAGCAGCCCTTCTTGCTGTGCTATCTGTGTGTGAACCAGGCCTTCACTCTGACTGCTGTGAGGGACTGACAGGCGTTAATCAGCTGTTTATGTGAATTACTTTCAAACATGTTTCCACTGATTTTTATGCTGCTCAAACCTTTTGAATATTCGGTTTACAACAACATATGGTGTTTTTTATGTTTAACAGTCGGTCAAATCCCAGCTAACCATGTCAACAGAACAACGTGACGGCATTCAGTGTTTCAAGTGACATCATGAGGCATATCAATGAATACAGCTACAAACAATATAATGCGGAAAATAAAATGTAATTTTACTCTCTATTTTCTGTATCTTGCTTCACTTTTTTTACATATGGATGTTATGGTATCCTTATCAACCAGCACAGCTACATGATTTGTCATTATGATTTAACATCGTAGCTCCGTCATAAGCATGTGTGAGACTGTGTATGTAATTAAGGATGCATACAAGGCTATCAAATTCAAGTTGTATTATTATCATTTTTCAAGGGCATTCATTATTATAAATTAAGATCAATAAGTTAACATACTGTAAGGCCAACATCACTTGGTGCTTATCTATATAACAGTCACCGGTATTCACTGCTGCTTTAATGAAGCACCACTTACCAAACAAGGGGGTAGGTCAGAAGAGGGCGAACGATTTACAAAAGGACCCTCGTCTGCAGACAAACTTCACAAACACCCCTCAATGATGAGATCATATTCATTAGTTGCTCGACAGTTTATAATGCATGGTCAGTAATAAGCACAACTTAAGTCTGCAACATTGTTCATTTGTACGCTTTCAGAGGGTCGCTCTTACGGAGGTCCACTTGAGCTTGTTTAACCACTCTTTAAATTGCTTATGTTTTAATGACCATCTGAATCTTCCTCTACTCCTACTGTCAGAGAAAATAAATCCTCTTGAACACAAGAAATATCAAAGCCAGATAGTTATATTGCATGATATTTCAAGCAAAGGAATAAGAAAGCATGCTTGGCCACACTGAAAAGTAAATCATTTAGAGAACAATTCCTCCAACACTTTCACACCGTAAAAGAGATTGAGGGTCTCTGTTTGATAATGTCTACAAGGCACTGAAACATGTGTTGTTGTTTTTTTACAATCAAACACTTACTTAATTTCCACTGCCAGTAACCTTCAGTGCCTTTGAGCGTCATAGTGCTCATCCACAAAGTCAAACAAAGGAACATTTGAATTTCAAACACTACATTTATGATTGGTTACAAATACATATTTTATAACATGAGTTCAAGGCTGAAGGACCCTCTTATCTCCTCACAGTCCTGAGTCAGATAGTTTGGGAATAAATGACTAAGCCCAGTAACATAAGTTTATCAGAAGAAAATAAATGTAAGTATCTATGCTACTATATAACATAATGTCTTCTTAACAGTCAGGATGAACACTAGTAAAGAACAGATCGTTGTGCAGGAGCAATAAAGAAAACTAAATTCAGCGAGTGAAGTGCAGACAGGTGAAAGAAGTTTTGATAAGGTAGTCTTGCTCAGCGAAGACTGATGAGAGTGTGTTATCCTCCATGGCTTCTGTGCTTCCAGTGAATGATTAATGTGACATCATAAAGGCATTAAAGCTTCCAGCATCCGAGCAATGCAGGTGAGTGGTGACTGCACTAACAAACTGCTAAGCAGCTATGATTCTCAGGGCCATTCACAACTCTCCTGAATTAAACTAGTCGCTGACAGGCTCCCTTGGCATTCAACACAAAGGGTTCCAGATGGGTCTGACCAATCCAATGACAGCCTGTGATGTGTGATAGTGGGCTTAATATTAACAGTCAGATTATCATCATGTCAGAGGGGATACCTCTTCATGTCCCTCATACTTAACAGAAACCCAGAGGATCAAACAAATCTCCATAAGGAAAACAAACAAGGACAGACAGACATGAAGCAGGTCCATGTAGCAGAGTGGCTTTCTTTACACAGAGAGATATTCAAGGTAGAAGTGCCGTCATGCTCTCAGCTCACACTGAAACAGAGCAGAGCTTTGACAGAGCCCCTGCTTGATCAACTGAATGGAAAGAGATCAAGCAGCATTTTTTAGCAACACTACAATTACAGGGCCAAAGTTTCCATTTCTGCTGTTCTGCAGAATACCAATGAGAATATCTCTTTCAATGGAAACACATTCGAGTCATATATTTATCTAAAGAGCAAGTATCAAAGATCATTGTGCATGGCATCTTTTATTATGGATATTCAGGCTTAATGTACGACCACTATAATTTCCCATCTAGAGGCAGTTGCTGTCGTGAGATGGTGATTCACAATGCCTGTATTCTCCATTACCTATCAGTGCGGAGGTGGGGTGGATGGAGGTTGGTGAGATTAAAGTCCGGAGAGGGAGAGGGAAGCAATTGTTGATGCCGTTCACATTAGGTCATTAGGATGAGAAATGGTCTTGATATTTAACAACGCTGAAACGTGTCACGCATATGAGAGTGGGGAGGGTTATCCGCCCCAAAAAAATGAGTGAGAGCCCAAGAAGAAGAAAATGATTTTTGTTCACACTGCAGCTGTGGCAGGGTGTGTCTACGTATTTCACCACCAGACAAAATGACTGCAGCGTTACCATGCTATGAACATTTTAACTTTGCAATTTCACACCTGGGAAAAAGCCAAATAAAAACAT